TTACATATGTATGTGTAACTGCATACCTACAACACGTGGACATTGGGTAAGAAGTCAATTAGGTATACAAACAGGATACACTATGAATCTTTTCTGCTGTACTTGCAACAATATCATAATTTGATAATTTATTAGATCCAGTCAATTCGAGATTAAGACCACCTGGGCTTTAAAATCAAGGAGTTTATTTGAAATAGCATCAAGAACTTTCAGAGAAAATGAGACTTTTCTATAAGTTGGCACTGATTTACACTTTCGTGCACTTGTGTGTATAAAAATGTAGCTCACGTAATTCACTCGATGTGCAAATTGTCCCATAATAAACCCTGAACCGAAATGATTAATGTGAAATTCAGAAGATGTCCATGATATCAGCATTAAAGGACTTCAGAAACTATCAAATATCACGTCCCAAGGTTGATGGAATATATTAATTGAAAATTTCTGTTTGATTTCCCATCTTACAAATTTGAACTGGGGAATCCCCGAGATCAAGTTAAATCCAGTTTCGCTATTGGATTTATATCTTATCAGCTAAAAAAGGTAGCCGTACCAGTTTATTCATGCAGTCCGTCTGAAATTCTAAGAAAAATCAAGTCGGTTTGTTAATAAATCTGATACATCTTAGCACACAATTAAACATTCCTTCTTGTTCAGTAAAATATATAGCATTCGTTATATTCGACCCATCAGAATCTATTAGTGCACAAACCTTTCGATAAAAATTAATGAGTGAACGATCTCATTTTAAGTATATGCACACATACATATTTACAATAATATTTACAACTCAACTCGTCGATATACTGCTTATCACCAGTAAAATAGTGCATTTGCATGTTACGTATTATTGACTGTGTGCAGGAATGAAGTTGATGGTCAATGGTCTGCTTGGAATGGAACAAGTTCGAGTCAACATTAAAGACTGAGGCAGCCGATACATACATAAAACCAACAAATTTGCTAAATTCAAACAATACAAAGTATTTATTACAGCCATCGTACAAGAAATGGTCAACATTTAATCCGTTAGGCTGCTAACGATACAAAGTTACTGCAGGTTTGCTTCATTCCACACACAAGAGAAATTCGTAAACTTGAATCTGAAGGATGAAAAGTTGAAAAAACCAAGCAATTCTGCACAACAAAAATGCAATCCGTTGCCCTTTTATTTATACCGAGTGCATCAACTTGCTTATATTTCAATAGATTAGCCAAAGTTTGATAATCAAGTTAAAGAACTTGATTGTATCAAGGCAATTCTTTTATATGAAGCAGTTGCATTCATATCATTTAGAAAAATCAGTTCAAGTTATACGCAACTCTTTGTCTGAGGAATTTTGTATGCCATACACACATATTTATATTCGTTGGAGATATATAATCTCCAAGCACACACGCATAATGATAATATTAACAACGATATGCGATGACTTCATTAAGTGGTGACAACAAAATTTAGTTGAGAGTCAAAGTCAGCAAATACTTAATTGTCGTATAATATACACGTCAAGTGCCTCTAGCACGCATTTTAGTTTCACATTTTGTGATGACGTATGACTTATTTGATCTCTTGACGCTACAACGTGAAAAATATGGGGATTTTGTTCATCTCAATGTACATACAACAAAAAAATTAAAAGATTCATTACTGAACTGCGAAATAAAACGTGCACAGGGCAAGTAATTTACAGAATTAACATGTTATTGTTATTATGTTGAACCCGTGATATACCGATCTGTGTCAACTGTGGAAGCATGTATGAAGACTAATTACAAGACTTTGTACTCCATAAAACATAAAAACAATTGTATTTACCAGGTTGTAGTCGTCATACTCAGCAATTCAACAGAGACACATGGCAAAAGTGATGATGATGACTAATTGTAAATTAGTTGGGGAAATCGGGACTTGTTCTCGGGAACGTGTGGGAGTCGTTATGTCGCAATATCGAATTAAAATCTGTTGCGCATTACTCTTATTGGATTGGATTGCGGTTGAGCTTCAAATGCGAGCAATTATGTTGCAGCTCGATTAGGATGCGAATGTCGATGAGATTTAATCTTTAACGGGGAAACTGGTAGGAAAATCCGATTAAAGCGCTTATTTAGCTGGGGAATCCCACTAATTATCCAGTACACCACTTTCTCATAAGTTCATCTGAAAAGGTAAATATATGCTTTAGTAGCATTGTTTATAGGGTACAATACATACATACATATCCACCCAGCTTATGAGCAGCACTAGTCTTTTTAATGCCATAGGTTTCAGTTTATAATTATTATTCCGTCAACATCCAACCTTAAATTACAGGTATCTTCGCATGCAGACTGTGAGACTAAATTCAATTATTAGGAACATTTAAAATCTGCGTTTCTTGAACTGTAGTCAGTGCCATGAAATGTACTCAGGTCGAAAGAAAGCAGTTTTGGGTGGTGGGAACAAGTATGAAAAAAAGCTATTTGCAGAGCAGACGATGAGACTTTGCAGATGGCCATTCTACTTTGCTCACAAGACGAAACAAAGCTTGTAGTATTGATGGCAAGATGATATAAATGTGCACCTCATTATTGGCTCCAAGGTGTAAACCAGACGGAACTAAATCCGGTCAGTGGTTGGTTTCTTTGATACGTGCATGTCAACCACCAGAGATTTGTATACATACTCTTATATCTTTGGATTGCTCCAAGTATATACACGAGTTGCCTCTGGAGCAATCAGCACAAGCAGAAAGTGGGATGGTCCCAATCCCTCTAAATTGCTCATTACAATGCTATTAAGGTTAATTCCATACTCTGACCTTGTTGACCTCCGCCCTGTATCGGCACCCACTATGCATAGATTATATTGAAATTGTCAGATGACATATCGTATTTCCGGGCTTGTGTGGTCCGTACCGGTTTCATTTCTACGTTTCTATATCCTCATGCGACATACATTGTACGCAATAGTTTACTAGGTAAATTATACTATTTATGCGTTTCAAGCGTGGTTTTAAGATGTATGTGAAACGTAAATATGTAGATACGTCATTAAATATTTGTAGCGGTAAGACATTTGAAACTCTACTTTTCGTAGACCCGAACATACATAAGTACTTTCATTAACATGCCGCTTTTCATTCGGTTTTGTGGAATCTTGCAAAATTATTGCCTTGTGTTTCATAATATTTTAAGTATTGGCTTTTAGCACCACTTATTTTGGGACGTTATGGATTTTTTCGTCCATAAAACAGCCCATACAACTTCTGAGAAAAAATAGATCCTTGGAAAATGAAAGGGAAAGTTTACGAGTGAATATGAATGCTTACATTTGTTTAATGCTATCTGCCCAAAGCACTCTGCGTGCCTTTCTTTTGTCGATCACGTAACAACAGTGATTAATAAGATTTTGGGTGAAAAGGAATCTTTGTGTTTACAAGACGGGTATAAATGTAGGTAAAGTATGCATGTCCTTCAACTCTGATATAAGCTGACTTCAAGTTGTCAGTCAAACCATCACGAAATTATTTACCCACATAAAATGTTTAAATTTTATGCAATATACGTGCCAACTTGGTGTGCAAATATTGTGCAAATGTTGTTACTCTTTTATGTTGAACTTTCATTTAAAGTGACTTGGAGGCCATGGTCGCTTCTGATTGAGGGTTTTGTTTCTCTGGGTGGTGAAAATGGCATTGAAAACATTTTATTTTTATCTGTGCAAACTCAAAGAGCACGGATCGCATTTTTCGCTTTGATTTCAAGTAAATTTATGCAAGCAATACTTTCCAACTAATGAGAGCTGGAGTGTCAAAATATTCTCTCTTTGTCATCCCTCAATAGTCTCAACCCACAATTTGTGAATGGACTGGTGGTGACTGCAGTGCTAACATTTTATGTATCATAAAATTGAAAACAACCACTTTGTCCAATTCATAAGCAATCTGAGTCATATAACGAGAGACGACGAGCGAAATATGTATATTTGAGGTCGATTTTTTTCCGTGCGTGTCTCAATGTCAGCCTAAAAGTAAGTGATTCACGCAGTGTGTGCGGAAAAGTGTGTTAAACGCCTCTGTACGTGAACTTGTATAGATTTGCATTTGATGTAAACAAAAATAACACCTGTCATGTCGTAAAGATCAGGGAACATTTTGTACCAAAATGCTTCATTAAGGTCGAAAAGCTTGGATCCGATGGAAAGATTGGAACCGTGAAACTTGAGAATCCGTACATGCATCATAATTAAATTGCTAATTTTGATTGGAAATTTTGCCCTTGGAATCTAAAACTGCGTCCAGCTTCTTCCAGTTTCCAGTGTAATTGAAATTTGTTTATGACTATTTATAAGCATTAACAGGTGGAATAGAGTATAAATCTCTGTGGTTGATTTAGCGGAAGGATATGCACAACATGTAGGTATCCTTCACCCATGAAATGAACATGAGGAATTTGAGACACACTCGCTTCCGACTTGAGCAACATTTTCTTCGCATTCTCCATTTCGCCCAGCTAACTAGCCACAAATAACTGCCAATAAGACGTATGAATTGGAGGAATGAATTACCATGAAAATTTCAAGGCAAAGATCACGTCATCCACATGTAACTGTAACCAAGCCTAAATATGAGAAATGAATAACGCAAAAAAATAATCCAATCCAGTTTATTTGAACCGTATCTGCCTGGCCATATAGAATTCGGCCCTGAATAATTGGTTGGGATTTGAAATAAATACATCACATTATGGATTTTTATCGCATATGCCAGAAGCTTGTACTTGAAGCTGTTGTGTGCATTTACAAATACAAGTATGCGACTCCCATACAACACTTTTATTTCCGGTAGGATCTCCATTTGCGCATAATTTATGAAACCAAACAAAAGTTGGGTCTGGTTTGAATGACATTATTGAAATGTGAGATCAACACTGTTTTTCTAAATCGGTGAAAAATATCCAGAAATCTGGATAATTTCGAGAGTTTGATACATATCAGGATTTAAACTAGCAGCTTCCGTCATACTGTGGCGTAAAATGGATAAGGTAATTCGATAGCACGTGCGTATCCGGCATTGCATCCGCCAAATTTGTCTACTCCTCTTTTGCAATAGTCATATCACTGCTTTACTTAAAATGGAGGAAACTGCATGACGCAAAATTCATTCATTATGTTGAACACGACAAATATACATTTGCCTCAATTTATCCTGGAGATCAAGTTTTAAGGCAGATCCGTAACAACAGCAACAGTATCAATTAACAAGCTTAAGTGACTCGATAACAAAGCGTCAATCATTATAAAAATTACTTTGTTTAATAAATAGTCAACTGCATTTGTTTTTCAGTTGAATTCGCAAATGAGCAGATAAACAATCTCTACACAAACTTTTCAACGTGTCAATATTTGTCGCATATTCATACAAGAGTCGTGCATTGTTGATGCTCGTGCATGCAATTGGAATCAATAATAAAAATGGTATTGACCAAAAAGAACATTTCTTTAGTTTTGAGCACTACAATTCCATACACAGAACTCACACAGTTCCTGACTCGTTGTTGCATCACGCCATTGGAATACGGAAATTTGAGTAATTAATCATCATCCCATACAATCGAACACACATATTTTTAACCAATTGCCTTGATTTTGTTTTACAATTCAATTCGCATTTTCTTTCTCTGCATCTCTGCATCATCAGCATCATATTAGCAGCACAATTACGAGACCAGTGGAGTTGGTGGAGTGTGCAAGTGATCGAGATTGGTACATATAAAATAATAATTCGTATGCAGATATGAAGGCATGCTGATAGCAAATTTTCCTACTCTCATCAATCAATACGCGATTGACAGTGGTGTTGACGAATTAAAATGCGCCCATAGTATTCCCATCCCCAAGTAAACCTTGCCCTTGTGTACATTATCCAGTGATTGATTGACAACCTGTTTATCGTTATTTTGTTTAGATGAACGACCGCCCCGCTGACGAGGTACAAGTGTCAAGTCGACGACAAACTTGAATGAGAGGTCATTTCGCACTCGAAAGAAGATATCACTTGCTGAGACTGAATAGTATTCATTCTCATTCCGAGAGTGAGAGATGGACATGGTTGTCGAGCCAGAGGGTGAATTAGAGACTGAGAGGTACATTTCCACCACCACCACCACCACGACCGTCATGTATGGAGAAAGTACTCTCATGATTCTCTTTTGCGTCGCTGGACTCCTAGCCAACGTTCCCGTTAGCTGCCTCTACTTCCGGTCCAAGCACATCCGATCCATTACCGACAAGTGAGTGCTGTTCTACTTTTAAAGATAATTCCTTACAATTGTGTGACATTTATTAGAGCACATACGTGGGCTGGTACCACTGTCAATTCCAGTCTTCGTGGTGGGCTGAATACTTATGTATAATCTCCATTAAGCATAGAACAACTGGGTCAAGAAAGGATTTTGAGATTTGAGATTTTTTGTATACAAAAAAAAACAACTACCATCCTAATTCTTGGATTTTTCTATTTCCTGTGTTACAGATTTTTGATAAATCTTCTATTGGCCGATATCGCTTCCGTGATCCTCCTGTTCCCAAGCATTTTGTGGAGCTTTTTGAAGACCACTACAGACACGGAATATGTTGTATCATCTCAGCAGCAACCTACACAATTTTCCTCGTCACAGAATCAAGGGAATCTCTTTTCTAATGGTCATAATTTTACGACTGTGAAAGTAGACGATATTCCCTTCGGGGCAGGATACTACGGCCTGGCTGCATCTTGGCGCTGGGACTGCGCCCTGACTAATGGAATCTTAGCCGGCTTGGCTGCCGCGTCTGTATTAGCAGCGTTGGAGATTGCAATGGAAAGATATTTGGGTAAGCTTGATTACAGAATTATTGGTGATTTTACGATTTAAATCCGATTTTACTAGATCATGTTAATCTCACGCAATTTTTTTACCCTCTGAATAGCTGTCGTCAAGCCACTTCACTACCACAAGTTTCTCACCACTCCCAGTATTCTCGCCACCTCCGTCATCGGAGGATTAATTTCACTCGGTAAGTATTTGGCATACGATATATTTACTTATCATTTCGATAAGCGATGCGAATTGACAGCATCACGAACGAAATTGTGACAATTGATGCTTCTCAATTTCTCTTTTCAAGATCAACCAACACAGCTCAGAGAGATTTAAATTATTATAAAATGAGTTATAAATACTCGTCTTGATATGCATTTGTTGAGTGGGAGAGAGAAAACACGAAAGCAGAATAGACATGTCTCAACTCAAAGTGAGACAAGAGTGCTAACAAACATTTCCAAGTCTCAGATTTTCGGATGTATGTGCTTCTGCATCGTAATTTCTTGCTGAATAAATTCTTAGAAAACAATCTATTTCACCAACTGTGAATTCTGAATTAAGACTCGGGCTTTCAGAAGAGCCTTTGGTAAATTCGTAAATAAATATCATCTCCTTCTCGTACCACTCAATTCAACCTCGTTAAAATACATGTCATGATAATACAGTAGTGTTGATAATCGTCGTCGTTTTGATTTCAGCCACGGCCATCATCGCATCTATCGAACCCAGTTTTTCCGTTTTCCCTCACTGTCTCCAAGTTCAACGTCAAGTACATCGTGCTGCTCGAGTCAGTCGAGAGATCTTGCTGAATTTGAAGATGCAAAATAGGACGGAAGAACAACAAAATGATCTCGATGAAAACGAGGCAGGAACGATGACGTTGGGAGGATTTCACCCTCCAAGCCATTCTTCTAACCTTACCAAAGATGATGACGTGTTCATCCATCCTAGTCCCACCAGTGGAGATCTCATTTGGTCACTGTACTCCTTGACCAGCACTATTTTTCTATTCGTAATTCCAGTCATCCTAATGATTTATATTTATACTAAAATCTGGTTGGAGGCGAGACGGCAGAAGATCAAGATTGCAAACCAGTACAAACCATATTTTCTCTCAGTTTCTCCCGAGCATACTGTGAACAAAGGTGAGAACGAGTTCACAAAGTATTTACATAAACTAAAGGATTATCTTGGAATGGTTATTTTAATTTTTTATAAATATTCTCTTGTGCAGAGTCTGAAGGAAAAAAGGTGAAAGGAGCAGCATTTCTGCCCATTGTAGTCAAATTTCGACTGATGAACCGTCTGCGAGTTGCTCGCCTAGATAGAGCTGGCCGTGTCGCAGTTGTCGCCCTTTTCGTCACAATTCTTTGCTGGTCACCATATTATTTTCTCAAAGCAAATAGTGCCATACAAACCATCATGGTGAGTGCTTCTTTTTTCACTTGCATACATTTGTCACGTTAGTTCTGGTTGATACTGATTCTTTAAATTATTGAGACTCATAAAAATTACGCAATATCGATAAGAGTGGTTGCAGTAAAAAAAAACCCTGATTACAAGCCCGCAGACAGACAGACGGTGCACATGTCATTCATAACTTCTGATTTATCAGATAGCTAGCCACTTGTGACATCATAACTCTATAAACTTATGGCTTTAATAAAATGGATGAATTATTATGATGTCGTTTCCGGGTGTGTGTACTCGCTCATCATGCACGCTCAATGTACGTTTGGTACACAACAGATGTGTTACAAGGGTTAATTTCCACTGAACTAAACCGAATCTTGAAACCCACGGTCTCAACATAACTCCACTTATTCTCCACTCCCACCGCCACTCCGTTGACTTAGGATTAGTTGACAAGATAAGACCTACCGACCGAGAGACCGATGACACGATGGCCCACTCCTGTCTCCTATCCTTAAATATTATTACAGAGAATGATGATGAGTCAACCTGAGTAAATCTGTCTTTTTTCATCTGTCTGAGCTTAAAATATATCTTGGGGGTAACAGTGGTCAACTGCCAAATTATGTCACATCAGTCTCCAATTATTCTATATTTGCTGCATGTTCCCGACTACTGCATGCACATTTACTGGCACATAGAATCACACAAGTTTCCGATAAATGTGTGTGTGAACGTGTACCTAAAAAGAGCGACAAAAGTCAACAAACGCCAAGCTCTACTTATTCCTAAGTGGAAAATGATCCAAGCACATAAGATGCCAATTAACTCTGCGTTTTCCCAGTTTACACAGGAACAACTTCCGGATTGTTTTTAGTACAATTTTCGAGTTCCAACACAACCGAATTTTATAGCCTTTTTCTGACATTTCATATCAAGCTACAAATCTTGTCGTGTCGTTCATATGATTACTTATATTTATCCTCATCGTACGTGTTGATAACCTGTCTCTTCTTGTTGACTGACAGGAGAGGAATGCAGTCTTACAACATGATATTACGATGATGGGAAACTTTTCATAAATATGCGACATCGCCAGCTTTAAATATTGCATATCATTTATTTATTTGTGTCTTCAAACTTGCGACACCATTAGAGTTCAAACTTTTCATGCATTCCAAGAATATGTAACTAAATTTAGTTTCACCCATAAAAAAAATTTAACACACATTTTTTTATTATTTCAGACAATTTACGGAACCCAATCTCAAAGTTACTCCGCCGTATCGTCAAACTTGGTCTGGTCATGGAGTACAACCGTTCTGCCACTACTTTTCGCAGGGCTGCACCCGCTCCTCTCCCCCCTTTTCTACGCTTATCGATACAAACGGATGAGGACAGAGATTTACAAATGGATCTCCTCCTTCTGCACGTCTCATGACCAGTCCAACACCAACAACCGTTTCGATGGAAAAAGTCGTTCAACTCTCAACACAAATAGCAGTTCTGGAGGCGGAACCCCTTGCATTCGCCAAGCCATCATTACACAACAATTGCAGCCACAACAACCCTCAACAGTCAATCCCTTGCTGGGAGGAGGAGGAAATGGAGGGTACTATCGGGGTGGTGAAAGTAATAATAGCGTCAAAGTCGTTGTGGATCATGTTGTTGAGCAACAAGACCAAAGCGTGCTGATTGAACCTGAAGCCGAAGAAGAAGGCACAACCTTCACAAGTCCCAGTCACGTAAAGGAGGAAGTTAAGAACGAACAAGGGCACTACATTCACCATCAATTTCCACCCTCACACATTCAGATCAACATCTTTTCCTCGGATGATGACCAGAGTAGTATTGGCAATGCAGCCCTGGAGACCGATCTGCAGGACAACGACAACGCTGCACGTGACATTGACTCTGATCGGGATGACCAATCTCCAAACTCATTTGTCGGAGGGATTGTTCGTGTGGAGCGTTCCGTGGGCAACTTTTTTAATTATTTGAACGTCTGGGTCAACTCTTATTCTCGTCGATGGCTCCAACACCGAGAATCTGTCACTTCCACTGCCTCCTTTATTACTCTGTTGTCCTCAAAGTACCACAACAAAACTCACACTGCTGCTAATGTGTAGTTGGATAAGTTAATGTATTTCGAATTTTTATCGCGTTATTTAAAAGAGCCAACTTTTCTCTGAACATAGAATACTCGATCTTTGGATCTATACTCTGACTGGTACATTTCTTGCATTTGTAATGGCGTCGTACTAAGCGGTACACAAACGAACTCAGTAGTAATAAATAAATAAATATGTAATGTAATAATAAAATAATTCGACTCAACCTTTGTTACCTTGTTTAATCGTGCTGATGAAAAGATGAATATTTTTGTTACGTAACCATTTTGTTTTAGTGTATTTTGCTTGCTTTGTGTCTCGTAAAATGTAAAACTTTACACGTACAGTCAAAAAAATCACATTTTATAACTTATATTATTCATAAAGATAAAAATTCTCATTACTGTCATTAAAAATATAACTATTACTTCCCATTTAAACTGAACGTTATTAATTTAATGGGAAATTATATTACTTGTAACCGCTAGTATTATATGCACGTTAGGTTATGTAAGAAAATGTAATTATAGAAACACTCACTGTTTGTTTTAAAGGCACATTTTTAATTTATTTCATTTGACAAATTGATATGTCCCAATACAGTGAACATTAACTTACAAAATTATAATGATATGAATATTAATAAAAAATGTTTTACAGTATATTTGTCTTTAATACAATTGTTTCTGTGATTTAGTTTCTTACGGTAAAGATCATCAATCACCACTATTCGGAATGTTAGTTAACTGTGTTTTGGTATTTGATCACTGGTTTGCTTACACATTAGGAAGCGACGAGACTTTGCACAACCATTTTGTGTTACAACTTTCAGTTCAATATTAAAGATCAATTCTAACAAAATTATTGCTATGATTGCACGTAATGTAGTACATATCAAAACACAATAATATCACTCTTTGGCGATTAGCAGGTATATAAATGCTTTATAATATCATCCTACGAAATCCTCTCATATAGAAATATTCCAAGATATTTTGGATTTACATAAATGTAATATTGTAATAATTAAAGAAAATGTCGTTATTCAGGCTTATTTGACACAGATTAAGTTGACCACATAGTAATCGAGAAATAACTTAATTAAGAATTAAGCAGATAGCTACACGTGTTTCTACGCGATCAAGGCAAAATAGTTAAAAAAAACAATTAATAGCAATTTTTATAGGAAGCTGATCCCACTGGGAATAAATGTCATTATAAACATATTCATATGCAGAAACATTAAATAGAATAAGTGTAAACAGGGAATCGGAATTTTACAATATCATAATATGACAGAATGATTCTTACAAGTGGATTTGCTAACATACAAACTAGGTTCAAGATAGAAGGAAGAATAAATAAAATAGAAGAGATGACATGATTATTCAATGAAGTCTGACTCGGCAACACTCTGTCGTAAGTACTCCGAGTACATGGTTTTCTAAACGAATCAATAATATCGTCTATTAGTCAATCTGAACAAAAATGATACACAATTTACAAAGGTTACAATACCTTGCGATTCAAGTTATCCTCTAAAACGTTCATAGCCAGTTTTAGATTCGTTAGTTCGCGATTTGCAACAACTTTCTCCGTTGGAAAACAGCGAGGGATCATTAAACATGCTGCAGAAAGGCAAACAATCCCAATAACAATATGTAAATGGTAAGACTTCGGAACAGCAGACCACAGAATGGCAAGCGGTTTCTGTAAAAGCAAGGACAATTCATATTAAAACTACTGCACATACGTATTTGTGCATGTAAACAAATATTCTTACACAAAAGTGATAAACCAAATCTCCACCAGGTCCAATGTGCTTTCGCATTCCTTCAGCCGATGTCTCAGCAATTACCAAAACAGTAAATAGCAAAAATGGTAGGATGAAGCCAAGTACATTGAAGACCAATCCTAATCACATAATTTTACAAATTAACCACCAAGGATTACATTTTCAATCCAACATTACATTTACGAAGTACTTACTGCGAATGTTTCGTCGAAAATTCCTTTTTCGAGCTTCAGCATCTAATGCCAATGACACACTAACTCTTTCCTTTACCAGGTTAGCGTCTCGTTCCAAGTTGTTCAAAGAATTCTGAACGGTCTGCTCGATGACTTTCTCTATTTCATCACATACATCAGTGATTTGGTTAGCACATCGACTTGGCTGTGTAGAGATTAAAAAATGGAGAATTTAATTAGACAAACTTAATGGTCACATGAGAAAAGTCTATAGATTTAATGATGTCATCTTGTGAAAAAATACAATATCATTACCTTTCCAGAGGCATCAGGCAGGTAAATAGTGGGCATGTCGAAGCCAGTTCTATTAAGTCCAGGTCGTTTGCATAGCTCCTGAACAATTTGCATCAGCACCCTAAATGATTACATACATTATTTTCATTATTAAATTATTCTTCCTCTCACATCAACAATAATGATGGAAGGTCTATATTAGTGAAGTCTAATAAGAAAATCAGGAAGAAAATTATTTGGGTATTATTCTCAGAAATGTACAATCTCATGGGTAACTCTGGATTACCGGATAGACGACAAATAAGCGCATTAGTCATTTTCATAGTCATATTAAAGTGGCAATCATACTTTTGACGATCAGTTTCGCTTCCTGCCTCATCCGCCTTGGCCAAATACAGACGAATCTTTTCACTGTAAGGTGACCAGAGAGATTCAAGGATGTTGAGGGTCCGCTTGCACAAGGCTTGCCCCATTGGGTCGAAAAAGACGAAAACCAGATCGGCCATATTTCCTGTAAAACAACATAAAGTCATGAAAATGAAAGGACATATCTGTTATGACTCATCAATCTCACACGAGCGTCATGAACTGTATATGTACATACATTATGCATGCAAGCAAACGACTAAGAACTCATCCTCAGTATAGTGGCATATCTATATGCATATAAATTCAGGTAGTTACATGACTACAGAAACCCTCTGAAGTCTCGTGGATTCCCCTTTCCGACTGTTCTGAAGGATGAGTCATGCAAGACGACCTAATAAAACAAGAAGAAAACTTACCCAGCCATAAGAGGGTTTCATTTACATCGAAAGGATAGTTCATGTCTCCGTCTACAAGCCCCGGTGTATCCACAAAGGCCACGAGATTAAATTTCCGGGATCTTGAAGTGCTCACTTCGGTAGTCAAATAGTCCAATACGCCTACACACACACAGGGATAAAAGCTTAATGTCATATTAGTTACTGATAGAAAGCAAAGGTTTCATTATAATGAATAAAATGCAATTTCAGAAGATAAATGAAATTACAAATTAGTGCAGTGGCATGTAAGGAATACCACTTTAGCAGCTTGCACAATCAGCTTTTTCATGACTAAAGCCAGAAAATATGTGAGTATGGATCCGGCTCAATTCATGAACTACACTTGTAGTTCATGAATGTAGTTGATGAGATGGGGAATGAAAATCATTTTATTTGATCTTTATATGACGCAGACAATAGATAATCATATTACTTAAAACATGAAAAGGAGAACTAATAATATCAGAAAAGCGGTGATATTATTTATTATGCTTGCCGTGTAATAATACTTACATAACTTGGCTAAAGTAATTTTATCAGTTTTTGGGCACATGAATTTCTATATACTATGCAACAATATGTATACCTAAGATTTCCTATTTTCTTATTAAATATGTGTTTTCATAGGTAAATGGCCCATTCAATTCCTAGGAGTGCGAGTAGTTGATAATGTTGACCAATACGATTCTAAGTTGATCCACGTTTCGGAAAATTCAGACACAAACCAAGGGGAAACCAGCGAAGCCACATTAATATCGCTTTTGACGAAAGGAAAATTTGTGAAAACTGATAACAGAAGGTTTTTGTCCAGTTGCAAGAAGCCAGGTTAAAATGAATTCCAGAAAGGAAATGTGGTCAATGCGGTCTATGTAGTCGCAATATACGACAACTCCACAATACCCAAAATAATGCCAAAATAGAAATCCCAATAGACCACGTGGACAAGGAAGTCCCACAGTGAGACGACTAACTTGGGTCAGAACTACTACCAGGTTGACTATAAACATTACAAAAGCCAAGTTACATGATTTGAATGTAAGAAAATAAGTTTTTCTCATAAATAAAAAATATCGTGAAAAAAGATTACAGATATTGATGCAATAGTACACGGTACACTAGCATAAAATTACGTATTTCAGAATATGCTCACTAAATCTGCTCAAACTTTTTGCAGTCTGGAATCTGGACATTGATGACAAAATTGAAATTTTTGTAAAGATACAAAATAGCAGAGTCGAATATGAAGCCAACCAGACTATACCCATTATAAACAGCATATAAGCAGTATTCAAACTAATAATGACTTATCAACCATGTGCAGATGTTTTCTTGGTGACTTTTTTGTCTTTATCCAATTGGACGAGCAACTCCCATATTTTAAACTCGCACTGAACATGGGAGAATGCAATCAGCTCAGAAAACTATTTAGTCTAGTTCGTTTCGTAGTTTATTCATTAATGGTTAAATTACAATATAAGCCAGCCAAGATAGAGAGGATTGACCACAGGACTACTGCCACATCCTTCGACAACCCTTATAAAATCAACTGCTTCTCATACCAATTGGCAGTACGCATTCCCTACCGGACACAGCTACACTTTCTGAATAATCTTGAGATTTCCATTCAACTCCTCAGATTTTAGGGAACATATTATTTGTACTCTCTCTCTCTTTCTCTCTCGGTCTGAAGTTTTGAGATAAGTGTACTCTAGTTGCCTTAACGCGATATGTCATGTCATCATAAGTTAGGTACGAACGTTATCCCCAAAAACAGTGACTTGAAACTAGAAAAAGGGTCCAACACACAAGAGTTGTTGACGTTTTTTTTTTAGCTTAATAAGTGTATATGTCCATACACAATACAGATACACAAAAGGGATTTGATTAACAATCTCAAATGTAGTTTTGATGGTATATATAATAGAGGCCAAAGAGCTAAAATACATGCAAGAACGGAATTCAATTTCTGTATACGTACTGGTGACTCAAGTGAGTCGCATAATACACACAGTGTGTAGAGGCATCATGAAAAACGTCACTTGACTATATTCCTTCAACACTTTCAATTCATCATTCACTCTAAACTCAATCCATTCAACAGGCTAAACTATCGCTCGATAACTTGAGATTTCACAGTCAGTTATCAACCCTCGTGGTGCCAACATCCAATTAACTAACTTTGCAAAGAAAAACGTTTTAGTTGGAATTCTGCTCTCATGAGCAATACTCGGGAGTGGGCTTTGAAAATCACAGGACCTTGGATAATGGTACCACTCCTACACAAGTACTATCTACCTGTACAGTGTAGTTCTTTATTGGGCATTTTGCATTTGTATTTGCAAGCGAGCTGCCCTATAAAGGGCTATACTTGTGCGGAAATATTCTTCAAAAATTCAAGACAAGTTTACTTACCCTGCATTTCCTGGAGTTGCTTCAAATGAGGGTAAAGCTGCAGAGTTGCTGGACCCTGAAAATTTACAGGTTAGTCTATCTTAAAAAAAGTTCTGTATGATTTTTATAAAATACCATTAGCATTTCATAATCACAAACTCAAATTCATGAGTTGAATCAATAACAAATTTATACCAATTTATATTTCCAGAATTTTAAAATGGTCAAGGATTTAATCGAGAAGGAGACATCACCACCGTGGGTTAATTTTATGCATTATACAGATAGGATAGGAGTACAGTCAACCCCACCCCAACAATGTTATTGATCATCTTCCTTGCATAATGCATACCTGATATTTTGGACATGTCTGGACACGATTCAGACGACAACCATTTACAAGGTTTCCTTCACGAACGTGGATGCAACCATACGTATGAAACTACCACTCTGCTATCTTTTCGTCATGACCTCATCGCTACGCGAGCATGTAAGTAATTATGCAACATATAATTAAAAGTTTCAGAACATACTCACCTTTAAGGTATCCCTCTTTTTTCCACTGGTTACAAAAGCGAATCCTTGTGTTTCAATTGCCACTCCAGTTTTCAAAATAGTCTCTTCAATATACCTTCAATTTAAAAATAAATACTTCAATCATAAAGTAACAAAATGAGTGACCCAACAAATCTAGTGGTGAATATGAATATGATATTGATTGCGATGAGCTAATCAAAAATCTAAAATAATTGTGTACTTGTAATTTAGATCAATCATAACAACTTACCAATTGATGAAACTGGACTTGCCAGCGGAATGATTTCCAAGAATCATAACCGTCACTTTACGCCGTGGATATGGCAGTTCAATACCCACAAGTTTTCCCAACTTCACCAGACCTGCAAACAATAAAGTTCAAATTTTATGTGTATCTACTAAACTCGTTCGTTCGAGAGGATAATATTTTAAACAAATTGAAATGCAAAATTTAAATAAAATTCTATTCCATTCGTCTATCATCATCACATTTCAAGCTGTAACATGCAAAACAGGAGACATTTTTCGAGGAGGGGAGACAGAGACCCAATGCCGGATGTGATGTCACATCACCATTGCACAATTTAACATCATTGATAACAATTAGAGACCGAGTTCAGCTCTAGCTTGCAAAAGTCATCCCCTATTATTTCTGAATCGAAGGAGATACCATTCTTAGATAACATTCATATCACTATCTCTCCGATTTTGAACTCAACTCGCCAACAATATATATGAATGACAAAGAAAGAACGGAAGAAAGAAAGTGCACAAAAGGCAATAAACACATGAATAAATCCAACAGTAAGACAAAATCCACCGGCTTACCGACATCCTTATCCGTATAAATGTTGAAAATGTCGTTTAAAATTCTTTCGTTCAGGGTGAGCACACGTTGGTCCATGGGGTTGGCGACAGGGCGAACGGTTGCCGGATTTGGGGGCGCTCCTCGTTTTCGCACACCATCGTTCGACATGGTTGGTGGGGAGGAGGTAGTGATATCGTGGGTGTGGTGCTGAATGATATGTCGACGACGACAAGGGACAACTGAACGAGAGAGTGACAGACACAGAAGAAGAGGCGAAAGAAAAAGAAAAACAGTGTCCAGCAACGAAGCACGAGTAGATTGACTGCTGGAACGAGCTTGGGAAGAAGAGTGGAGGGAAGAACGATTGAATTAGACCATTAGTCTTATTTGAATCAAGCCAACGGCCAATCAGAGTTTCGCTCCCTTCTTCCCACCAAATCTTTCCACTTGGCACACATGCAGCTTTTTTCCAGTGAGGAGGCCTTAGTGATGAGGCAAAAGTGGGGTTGCCTTTATAAAAAGAATGGGGTTCTTTTAGCATATGTGGTTGACAGGAAATTTAGGTTAAAAAAATATTTTTTAGAACCTTGTTTTCAGAAAGAAAGATGAGATAAATATGTGATTCATGCAAAAACGTTCATGCTACTCTGACATGATTATGATATTATGTAAAGAAATGAAAGATCTTGAATCTTGAATCTCTCCATTTAGTCACATTTTTGCAGAACTCTAGTCATCGTTATTGTTTTTTAATGAAATTGAGTCCATTTATCTTCTAAAACAAGCTGAAATTGGGTGTGAACTGGACGAGTTGAGTTGCCAAAGCGCACTGTCTACGCTTTTTAATACCAAGTGCCACCACCAGCAAGAGATCTCTTCGCCTGTTGCAGTCCATTTGCTCACTCAGTCACCACTCACCTGGCGAATAACAACAACGCAGCGTCTCGACCGCTTACCCCAGCATCATACACGGCGAAAAAACCATAATACCGTCACCTTGGGACGTCTCTATTAAAAAGCACTTACCTCAGCACCACACATTTATTGCATCTCTGTTAAACCTCACTCTATCAATTATCATTCCTGTGATTTAATTTAATTTTACCCAGTTAAATTTAAATACACACGTTGTTGAAGGGTTTAGGAGCGAGTAAACTCAAAATACCCCGAATTATGCTGTTCCTTTTTCAACCCTTTATGCGGCCTGAGGCAACATGGCCGCGCAAGTGGGTTTAGCTAATAATAGACCAGTAAAACATAAATAAAGTGCATGTGAATCGTATACTTTTTGAAACTTGCAAATCCGAGGCAGCTTTTACGCGAAAGAAAATATAACAGTTGTGACATTTTTATTTGTGCGTCTTGCGGAAATATTTTGTGTTACCGGATGAAGAATACGACGACGACCCGGGTATATCATCCTAGCGTCACATGAAAAGACTGTTATGATCTGGTAAATTAATTATTAACTAAAAGAAAGGATTATGAACTGGTTTAAGGAGTTGGGTAAGAATTTAATGCCTAACGTACTATTTGAGAATTGTCAATTGTTTGGAAGAAAAACAATAGATACTTGGTTTCTATAAGTCTACCCTACTGTGCATGCAATCAACGCGACCAATGACCAAAGAACTATTGTGTACCATTGTTTAATTTCGTCAACCTCAAAACTGAGAAGGAAGCGACCTAATACTACAAAAAATGAACAATTATTATACTGAGACTTATATAAGTGCAAAGTAGCAGCATCTCGTCTGGATTTTTTTGGTGTCCAAGATTCCAGTGACATATCAACTATCCAACCAACCACCACCTATCTACAACCTGTCCAGATATCATCATCACTTATTTTGACTTGTATTTATCCGTGCTCCGTTAACATACCTGACTTATTAACCCCCTACGGGAACTGGTATTTTAAATAAAGAGACAAAAACAGTCGCCAAGATGTGGAAGTGTTGCTTCACCAAAACCTACGAAGCCCCGGAAGTTCTGGAGTTGGACTTTCGCCACTCGTCCCTCATTGAGGTTCCTGCCGACGTTTTCACCTTCGAGAGGACACTGGAAAAGTTGGATTTGGGTTCCAACCAGGTACTTTCTCAACTTTGATCAAATTACCAACACATTACATAATAAGTAAATACGTCTGATTCTTGAGAAGTGAGGAAAAAATAGGCTAGGAAATCTTACAACTACTATTACGTAATAATTTCAGTCAGACTCTTTGTATAGGTTATGCATAGTTGGGTCAATTGAATAGGAATGAAAAGCCACCCGGGGCCTCATTCTACGAGTTTATTCATTTCATCCCGAAAAAGTCGGGCATAACATTTTACAAAGTTTGATAAACAACCCACAATCAAACCACCAAGTAATAGTTGTCAAAGTCAAATCAAGTGGTGAAATTATTATGGTCCTTTGTGCGATCAAAAGTTTATTGAGCATAATGGTATTTCGCTTTTTGCAGTAGGGTTGGCATAGGTTAGTGAAGTTGTAGTTTGATCATTTTGGCTCAATCTCAGTCATTTTGATTCAGATTTTGTCTGCTCTGCTCGGAGAGGAAAGTTGAGTTGAGAAAGTGTTAGGGAAAGTCCTGCATGGACGAGAATCAGGGAAAGGAGTCTTTTATTGCGTCCTACTTCTTCTCGTACGCAGATTGTTCATGAAACGTTATTGGAATATTACCGCACCGTCTCTTAGCTAAACGTGCTTTGATTCATCCTCATCATCGTAGTCATTCGCAACTTGAAACTTGGCTATAAAATTTATTCCTTTGGCATATCTCTAAATAACTCATTTTCCATTTTAATGTGCTGACTTAATTCCCATGGTATGTCATACATCTGACTAATAATTTGTGGATTATTATACATGTAAACTGCTTCATATGAGATAATATATGGAATTATATAGCTTACCATGACACAATTGATCCGCATACAGTTGACGCATCATCATTTCGGAGTTTGCATATATATACGAAGAGTGTCTGGTTGGTTGGGATTAGGTATTTTGTTATGTGTGTTTCGTTTGGTTCCACATATCCGGTGAGTGTTTTGTTCATTAAATCATCCTCCGCCCCACACTTCGTAAGCCAAGTATTTAACGTACAAAAGTAGCGTGCAAACCTTTTTTGGTGAGTTAAAAATTCATGAAATTCATGGGACGCATGTAGAAACGTGAAATGAATGCACATACATAAATATTAATTGACAAGAAATGTTTTACGACACAAACAAACACACACACAAACACAATCGCGATATGCGAGGAATGATGGTGATACGGTTGCATGCCAATTCTATCAACTCCATAATATGCAACGCTCGGAAAGAATCTAACGCTTGGATGGTTGGCACTTTTACAATTTTTTTGATTGCTTTATTATTTGTTCTTGTCTTCTGTTTAATATAGTCATAAAACTTGGGAATGCTATTTCTAAGCATGATAATCTGATTTGTGGACTAAACCGATAATGCACAACCCGCAGGAAGCTAATCCGATTTGTGGATGACCCAAAATCTTTCAATGTTAAATGTTATCTGGTTGAATAACTGGAAAACATACAAATTTTATGATTTGAAGAAAATTCCTAGGAAGCATGGATTTTTATGGAGATTTTAATGCACGCCAAGACGCACAAAATCTTCCCATCATTTTTGACATTACTCCAAGAACGGATTGATGGGTGGATTGATTTTTGTTATATTGACATACGAGCAATCAACCCAAGAAAATTTTGGTTTAGAGCCGTTTCTTTCAAGTAGCGTAGCAAATTGTGCTAGCTGTAAAAAAAACAAGTCCCGATCCGTGTTGGTCCCAGATTCTGTTGTTCTGTTTATGTATTGCACTCGAGCAAATCTCAAAGTGAATCCAATAGGCCAAACGAACCATGCATTTACGAATGAAGGAACAGTGATAAAGTCGGGAGAAATAAAAATTGGGGTGTCCGGGATGAGATATGGAACCGATTTTTCACCTCCGCTTTTCAGGAATAACTTGCTTCTCCTCACTCCTTATTTTTTTCTCGCGACATTCCTTGACGTTGTCACGTCAAGAAGGAACAAATGCAAATATTGCACTTTCCCGATTACTCGTTGGTTGTGACGAAAAGACATTTAGATTAGGTTGGGAATAAGAAAAAAAAAGTAGGAATAGACGCGATGTGAATTCAACTTTTTTCATTACACGGAGATATTGGCAATTTGTGTTGACTTTTTCACCACCTTTTGTTCTTCTTGTATTTCTTTTTCTTCGTCTCTATCTCTGCACCCATTTACATAAATAAATATTGCTTGAAAATATATGGTCTCGTCTGGTAGTCAGTTACACAACCAAAAAGCAGAAAAACAAAATGTAAGTAACACAGGCCTCGAATTGTATGATGTGTGCGACATGCAAATATTACAAACTTTTATTGCTTTAAGCTAGAGCTATCTTGACAACTGTGATCCTCTCATAACATAATATGCCTTTCAAATAAGGGTATCAAAGACGGGTTGGATATCAATACATAAGTTGTCGGCGTAAACTTTCATGGTGATGATACCTGCTTTTATTTCTCGGCTGCTTGTAATAAAGCCAAATGAAAAAAAAAACGTACTGCAAAAACTAATTGCAACTTGTTACGATTGGCCCCGAGTTCAAGATTTTTTTTAAACTAGCAAATTTCATGTTTTAAATGGCTGTATAATTGGACAAATCTCCTTAGAGTGAAACTGCTGTGGTTTTTAAGTAGATAGTTAATTGGGATTTTCCATAGTTCTCAAAAACTATATTTTTTATCTGTTACACAATTTTGAGAGCGGATTTTTGTAGATTTTTTTTGCAGTCTGACTGGATGATTAGCGTTTGAACATATCATAGTCGTGTGAGTGAGTCGATCGTGTGTACCTTCAATTGTTAAGGCAAAAGAGTTGGAATGCGGGTCGATGATGATGTGAAAGATAATTGGTATTCTCAGTATTTCATTAAACAGATTGACATACCAAGCATTCTGATATCGTTGAAATATTTGAGGTATTTTTAGGTGTTAGGTTTTGTGGTTGTATTAAAACCTGTGATATTGCATACTTTCTGGGATTCGTAAAGTGCCTCATCTTTCCACGTGCTGTGTGCTTTTTGAAGCTTTTGATTTTATGGTTTTTATATAAATTATGTATAAAATCCTGCACTTTCTCCGAAGCACTTTAAAGAAATTCTCCCCTGTATTATTCATACTCATATTACGAAGTACAAAAAAATAGTTTGGTTTAATAATGCACGTCTCGTTTGCAAAATAAATTGGTATCATCATCACGAAAAATGATAGACATACATGATGAGCATCGCCTGCTAAGTATGCATTATTCGATGATCTCGTTGACTATTGATTTAATGCCTATCCATAATCCGTTGGTCCATCCGTTAATAGAATGGAGCATCTTTGAAGGGAAAGCTACTCAAGTTTTTTGTAAATCCTTGATCGCAATCTTCTGCCAAGGGTATTTCACATCATAATAAAAAATTAACTGCGCATATTGTCATTATATATTGGACGAGGAAATCGAAATTGGTGTTTACGATCAGATGAAGAGTCTTGATAAAGGTAATTTTAAAAAGTGGCTGAGTGGCTGAGCAGACAAAAGTGGTGTTTTATCAAAATCTGTCATGTGATTCAATTTCAGGTTTGATTGTATATTCGCTTTCGCAAACTCTAAGCCGTCAATCGAAAAAGTTATCGATTCTCAAAAGAAAGACGCAGCAGCAGCCTCATGGATCCGTTTCAGAAATCATCTAAAGTCATCTGAAGTTTCCATTTGATTCGGACGTGCACATGTATGATGTGGTGATGTAAATTGTACGTAGACTGCTGCTGACAGGCCTTCAAAATAGAATTGACGAGATACATATGCAGAGCGTGGCTTTTAGATTCGATGGATACATTTAATATTTTTGTTGATGTTCAAACCTTGATAACAACTTGTAACAAAGTGCTTTGAATTTACTTACTATAATAAATTCCACTCTGTCATAAAATGAATGTATGCATGTGTGCAACCTTGGCATTGGCAGGTATTTTGTTTCTCTGCTCTTGAATATGATCTAGTTTTTGGATTTTACTGACGTTGTAAACTTAAAAATGCATGCGTTCAAGTGCCAAATGGCTTTCACGATACGATGGTGATAGCGTGTTTTGAACATTTTTTGTCATTAATTGCTCCTGTGTGATCATAGCGTCATTTCCGACATAATACTTCCCAATTCTTGTTGTTCTTTTACATCCATGCCATGATCAAGATTGACTTTAAATGTTGACTCTGTCTACGCAGTAATTGTTTAGTTTTAACAATGCGCATGGTTAGTTAGTGACGTAATTATCCTATTTACAGAACCAGAAGTGAAATATGGCAGATTCACGATGTTTTTATGAGACCGACTACTAAGCAAAATGTGCCTGTTAGTCCGGAGTCGGCAATGTTTTTGAGTTTTAGTATGATTACATGGGCAAATAGTGGCAGACTATATTTTTAATGATTTTCTCAAATCAAATTGGTTTTTATTATTCCTTTGAGTGTCAACATTCGATGACACACTTTACTTGAAGAGTTTGCACACTGGTACGCAGTAGTAAATTTCTTGGCCAAAACCTAATATCACCGATTCGAAATTAAACTACCCTCTTTAGTACATGATCAATAGTTTAGAACAATGGTAGAAAGTTGAATTGTTCAACTGGTTATGGAGTGGCCCAACTAATACTAATACTAATACTAATAATAATACTAATATAATAATACTAATATAATAATAATACTAATACTAATACTAATAATAATAATACTAATACTAACCTACCCTAATTTAAAACTACAAAATATTGTCATTTGATGAAAATACATCGTTGAAAGTATCTAAACAAAAATTTCTACACGTATTTTGACCACACCCCTGACCTGTGGTGTACCCATGCCTCACACCTCGATTCCCAAGAGCAAAATTAGAAAAAAATTGAATTGTTCGAGTTATATGTTTTGGCATGCAAATTAAGCCATGACCAGTGTAGGTGAGTCCATTTGTTTAAGGTGTCGAATATCAGTTTTAATCAACCGACAATGCGTCGATGTTTGAGACTGTTTTCAGATTCAATTCAATGCACTGCACGTCCATCAGTTTGTTTAAAAAACAGATTTTTATAAAGTTAGTGTTAATCTTGTTTTTCCAGGACATTTTTGTACTTAATCGATTTGTGCATTATTGATGAGATCGTATTCATCCTTGTGTAAATATTGTATGCATTTCGACTCTTTTGTTGTGTTTCCTATGTACAAATACGTGAGTGAACAGAATAGTAGGGAGAACATGATCGTGTGATTCTGCAGGAGGCTTCCCTTATCTGCTGCTGCCGATTTATTTCTTTTAGAGGAGCTACTGCTATATGTATGTATGCATGCTGTTTGTATAGTTTTTAATGCGTTTCACTGTGTGCTTATCAGATAGGTTTTCCTAGAACCATTCCCAAAGGAATTTTACGGTTCTGCTAAGTTTTAATTGTAATATTTTGAACAGATGAGGATAGCTTTGATAAATTTTGAAGGGAAAACTGACTGGTGGAGAAGTTTTCCAAACAATCGGCAAATTATGTCTGAAGTTGAAAGATTAATAAGTATAAAGGGATGCTTATATCATAATAAGATTGACTTATTATAACCTGGAACATAAAGTAGCACTATATTGTCTAGATACGGATATGCATACAAAGCCTTATGTGAATCTGGATGATTAACTGCACAAAGTTAGTTCCCTTTTTGTGCTCCTCATTCTCCAGTGAATCTCCAGTATGGTTTCTAAGTGGGTATTATTATGATACTAAGTAATTGTATGGTAACTGATAACCTCCTGCGCTGATTGAATTATATGCTTGCCTGTAATAATGTAATTGTTGTGAATTACTTTCTACAAAGTAGCAGAGATCTGATTATGCTTTTCCTTGTGCTCTATTATCGCATTGACTGTGCTCGCATTATGTTGCGAAACTAGATCGGCTTATGGTCCTACCGTGTTCTGGCTAATGAAATTATTTCACTTTCAATCGTCTAATAATCCCTCAATTACTCTTCCCATTTATTACAAATTTATCGTGTATTGTTCGCACGCTGCAATCTGAAGATACCGTATAATTTCGTCTCTGCTCACCAATATGTACACTCATACACACATGATGAGTGTATATACGTTACACTATTTCATGTCGAAGTTTAATGCATGTGATCTGGTTGTTTTGCGAGATTCAATATTGACTTGTGGACATAATAATGTATTTTTTCTTTCATTTCCTACAACAATATGGCGACCATATAATTTCAGCGATAACAACGACTCTTTGTTATCTGTTATTCTTCACGTAATTTCTGCTGCGTATTTTTGTAATATAAAACCTCGATATTCTTATCAGGAGCGACCCTATGGGGTGACCCATACCGATTTTTAGAAATTACTTTAAAAACATTAAATCCGGCAAGGTCATACCTAATGGCTTCTCATGAAAGGATATGAAGTTAAAAGTGAGCGAATTTTAACCAGAGTGACCCTGGAGGGTAACCCATACCATTTTTTAAGTTTAATTTTTTCCATCTGAAATTTGGTACGAAGGCTAAAAACCACTTCTTGATAGCAAATATAGCTGTGGAAGTTCAAAGTGGTAATATTATGTCGGTCAATTCGGAGAAAAATTTAGAAACAGCTAGGACTCACGGAGTCAGGGACTCTGTCCCTGACTCGGGCTATATGGAGTCTGCACTGTAGGTTTTGATTGATATGAAAATTTCCACAGCCCAAAAACCACTCCCGAAGTCCTGTCCCTTCATCAAAATTTTCAGACCATCAACATTGGAAAAGCAACTCCTAGAGGTAATAGGAGAGCTCCTATTTACCAGTAGGAATAGTAATAATAATATAGGTAATAAAGTGCCAATCCGAGTATTGACGATCATATTGAGTTATCCAACTATAATAACGATCATGTCTCGACATTATTTATGAGATCGAGCATAGTGGGACATGCATGCAAAAGAAATAGTGTTGCTTGTTGTTGGCGGAAAGAATAACGGACAATGTGATAATTCTTGAAACATTTGCAGTTAAGAGAGGATAATTTTCATGTCGTGGTATTTGATATTTTGTTTACATTCCACACTCTGCTGGTGTTTTGCTAAAATTGAGGAGAACAGTGACATGGTTTGTCCTGACCTTTTTTAAGACGTTGGATAGATTATTATTGTTTTGTACTCGTAAACGGAACTCTCACTGGCTTAAACTATTTTAAATTAGTTCAATAAATTTCCTTCCAGAATTTTTACGAGTAGGATTTGTTTGTCAGTATAAAAATAAATTGTTATCTTTTGTGTTTAAAATCAATAAAGGCAAATATGTTCTTCTGCTCACACTACTATTCATTTTACTTTTGTGTGCATTACAAACAGGTCATTGGATGGAATTCCTACATGTTTATCTCTGTTGTTCTATTTTATAAATGTTGGCTTGCAGGACTTGATTTCCCAAAACCCAAGTAATATCATTTTTTCCTGGATGTCAGACAGGAGCAAATCGCATAAGTGAACTGAACCTGTCAATTTACTGATTTTTCTATTTTTTCCACCATAAGCTCAAATGTCGGGGCAACCTGAGACATTTGGCGCTATATGTGGAACATATAGTATGTTGTCAGGCACTCTTATGGGAAATGTCGGGGGCTCGTACAAAAAAACGGTTGGGCGTAAAGAGATGCCGTAAAGTGCATTAGATGCCTCTCGAAAAGTTTTAAAATGACTTTTTTCTAATTCATGGTATCTTGAACCATTTTCAAGAAATTCAATAAAAACCGATTTTTCGGTTTCGAAATCATAAATGTTTCGCTGAATGAATTGGGTGCATAACACAAAGTTGTATGTAATAGCAAATATGTTCATAACCGCATTATCTATAATATTTACTCGAAAATTTTTTCGAAATAATGCTAGGTACAGGCGGTAAGTTCAAATTTCCGAAAAATTTTGCAATTTCGGCTACCAATTTCTCCACTGAGCTACAGCCTAGACGATACATTTTGGTAACCTAAACTAAACGGGATCGTATTGGGGAAGGTCCCGGCTAGTGCCCTCGACTGATTGACTTTTTCGAAATAAGCCTTGGTTTTTAAGATATGGCGCGATTTCTAAAATTAAAATCCATAACTCATATTTGGTATGAAAAAATAGAAATTTTCAGCGGTTTTGCCGCATAGCTTGTACCATGAGCTGCTGGTTGGTAATCATGCCTTTGATGCATCTAATGAGCATAATTTGTTGCCAATTTGAGATGCCATTTTCAATCGCTCAATTTAGTTTTGTAATTTGGTTTCTCTATTCTTACCTAATTGTACTACTTACTGCACGGTTCTGCTGATAAAGTAGTGACCATGCCATCGTGCATTTTTTTATACCTGATAATTTTCTGTATTTCTTTCCTTATTGGAATGAATACATTGATATTTTGAAAAGTAGTGATAGTGTCGGTCTCTGAAAAATATTTTCTGGTAGAAGTTGTCGAGTTCAGCCATCATCGCCATTCCTTGACGGACGGGTCTTCTTCATTTGTCTGTCTAAATTTTATGTACCAATTTTCTATATACCTTCTTATTTTATTTTTAACTATGGCCACAGGTAGGAGCATAAACATATCTAAAATACGCTTTATGTAAAGCCTTGATGGATTTATTAAAGAGTGGAGAATACGGACTCGGCTGATGTAAAAGGAACAACATCTGATTGAAATTTTAGACAAGTGTTCATCATTCAGAAATGCGCGTCTCTTCTAAATATTTGAGAGGTATGGGACCATGTTGTTATTGCAATATGTCTAGAATGACTACGATATTCTTATTTCAAGCCGAGGTCCAAGATGCATTTCTTGACGTTGTTTAGGATTAGGCAGACTGCGTCGATTTTGCAAAATAAGATAGGAGAACAAGATTTGTATGTTGAGAGCATGTACGTACGTATGTCTTCTTGTACAGCAGAATTATCAGTGTGTGCACTATGTAGGAGAGACTTAATAGAGGGGAATGATGCTGGCAATAATGATGTAAATGCAGAAATGAATTGAGATTCAACAACGAGACGGGTCGGATGGAGAAGATGTAATAACTACCTCATGTACAAGTACAAGAGTACAACAACACTTCCATTTCTAGAATGACGATAATATTTATGGCTATTGCTAATGTAAAATGTAAATGGAGATTGCATCTGTAGCCGTTCATAACGTGTAGGAGAGAGTAAAATGAGTCTTTTTAGGAGCTGGGGATTTCACAAATGGATTGGAACTATATGGAAATTTCATAAAAGTGAGTGTCAGTAAACGCTCTACCGGTCAAAAGATTAACCACCACAGAAAATTAGCACAATTAAAGTCCCCTCTCACTCGTTGGGGTAGGCATCATCCTCTTTATATTGTTAACAAAGGAATGCGTCGCGAGATCTAACTAATGTACATGATCTATGGGATGGATGATCATCATCACATCACGCGTATTGTTTTGGGTTTTATTAGAAAACGTAATATACATTTTTAAAAGATTCGATTTGTGATGAAATTTATGATTTTATCCATCAAAAATCGATCTTTTAATACGGAGATTCTAGCCGTCCGGCTAGACCAAAAAATTTAATAAATATACCATCAGACAAAGGAGAATAAATAAAAACATTGGGTGAAGCTCAACCCTGAGGTCGACTCCTCCCCCTCCCCCAGCAGAGTCGATGCGAAATTTTCAATTGGGCGTCGCGAAACAATGTTATAAATATTCAAAGCGAGGGGGAAGGATGAGACTGGGAAGATACTAACGCTCGTCCTTTGTAGACATCCAAGTGAGACTTGGAAAAAATTTGTTCAGTTTCATGAAAAATTGGTCATTACATTTAACGAATTTAAGGTTATAAGCTATATTTTTGAAACTTGTCATGTCAATGGTACATATATTGTGTGCAAGTCAATAATGAATTATGTCTGCCATTTGAGCTGCCTACAGTCATTAGTTGTTCTCGTTACTTTATTACAGTGACATCAACATTTGACATCTTTTTAAATGGGTTTGCATGCTGCACGCTGCAAGTCATGTTGTTTAACGTGATATTTCGTTGTTGCTCATTTTCCCCCAGTTTTTACTTTTGACAGTTGACTGCCAAATTGTTTCTGCAAAAATATGTGCACTTTTTCTGCTGCATTACTCGGCTTTGTTTATTACAAGGGGTAATATGGACGCATTACTGGCGAAGATAAATCGCACAATTGTTGGAACGACTCAACAATATATCAATTAATTTTCATTTTTTAACTAGAGTCAAATTTCATCAAAATTATTCCGTGTTACTCCGTAATTTTCACTCAAAGTAATTAGTAAATAATTTGGAGAGTCCATAGTAGTAGTAGTGAGCATACACATGAAACAGTTTATGTTGCCGGACGTGCTTCATAATTTGTTTCTTTAAAATGCAGCAGGTGTGGTTTAGGTGTGTGAAGAGGTAGACAGAAGGTTAGAAATTAGAGGGCGATGTGTTGAAATACGCTTTTATGCTAAGTGTTGCATTATAATTTACTTTTTTACGTTTTTCAGATATCCGACTTGCCTCCATCCCTATTCCATTGTCACGAGCTGAAAGAGCTGGACCTGTGCGATAACGATTTGATGTCCATCCCACAAGCAGTTGGGTCGTTGACACGATTATGCAAATTAGATTTGAGTCGCAATGGTGAGTTGTTTTTTACTTGGTCATTCAATTATCGTTGCCTCATTTCAGTCACTCCTGCATCGTCCTACCTCATCATCATCATCATCGTCAAAAGATGAACTCAACTCCTTCTTGCGTACTCACTCATTCGCCAAGAAAGAAAAGAACAAATGCAGTTTCAACTGCACTGCATCTGTGATGATGGCGTATGATTTTTTTGCGCCGAATTTCTCATAGGTTATAGCTTCTAACCTAGAACTCTGTAGTAGCACGTACGTATCCGTATACATATACCAGATTATTATATGGATTCGGTGAAGATCGCCCCAGATATATTTATGTGCGGACCTGTGCGGTTAAGGAGGAGACTCATACGCGTAAAATTTCCTCGTATTCAGTTGATTGGGCTGATTGGACGTGCCCTTTTTGTTTTAGGGAACTCTATGGAGCTGGGGAAGAAAGTAAAAACAAATAGAATTGCATTTATCTTGGCGTGATCAGCAAAGATGAAATGCCATGTAGTCGCCTTATTCATATCTACCCCGTCATCCACTTTTTTGCACGAGAGAGATAGAGAGAGTTGGGTCCATGCTGTAATTTCTCAAGAGGAGGAGTGATTTTATTATTTGTTTATCCTTCCGCACAATGTCTGCCAAGCTAAGGGAGTGACCTTCATCGACAGATTTGTGAAAACGAGTTACTTCATCGTTCTGAATTCTGAGCACACGGCCAGATCAACTTTGAGAAGCTTATATTCACTGTAGCAAAATTAAGTGGACTTAAGTGCGCTTACATGAGCATATTTGCAGTTTGTGCTCGGCTTTGGCTGTTAGTTTGGATTTTAGGAATTTGATTATATTTCGCAACGGGTGTGAATATGGATTGTTTATTATTCTCATCTCAACCATATCACTAAACGCTATGACGGATTGTTGAGCGTGAATAATTGATTTTTAATACCTGACAAAAATAAGCATTAGCGCTAATAGGAAATAATTGCTGTAATACCATAAATACATAAGGACAGGCTTGATTATTTGCTTCTTTTGCTGGAAATGTATGTGTAACACCAGGCAGCAGACCGTTCTATCCCAAAACCTTAAATGTGTAATAAGTTTGAGTGAAAATTGATTCACAGCCAACATTTGATAATTGATGCTTAAAATGTGTTGAATGTGTCTTTTCTCCTTTGACGTCATCCTTCCCGTAACGGCTGTTATCTAAACTCTGCATATATGAGTAATGCTAATGCACTCACTCATAAATCCGTAATCAGTTTGACTTAGGACAGAGCTATAACTACAGAGCTATAGTTTCCAGACTTTTACATTTGGCGAGTCTTCCCCGCCCGTAAAATGGTCACGCTGGTTTAGTGTCGTATTTATTTAATTCAGTTGTGGGTCAGTAGGAGTAAGCTGGCTGACTACTGACCACCGTAGAATAGATGACTATTTTGTTAGGAAAGCAATAGGACCCAGTGAACTGAACTGAAATGATATCATGCCCATCACCTCCCAGTACGATGGTTGCTTTGTATGTACAACCAAGTCATTAAAATGACGGTATTAAAACCCTTAAAAAGTGTAGGCGTCATATTTTTTGGCACATAGTTCTATTTACATCAGATTTTTTAAACGAGTTCGTGTAACAATTGGGGTGTTTTTGAGCTAGCATTTGGGAGGTGGATTGTGCATGTTTTTGGTTTTGTCATCATAATTCCACCAGTGATTTCATGGCGTAGAAAGATGGAGAAAAACCAAAAACAGAGCGAGAACTACTTAATCCCCCTGGTTTATATATGATTAAAGGATTGGCAACAATAATATCCGCGTTGGCCTGGTCACACCATTACTCACATTGCGTTGCTCGAAATTACTACAAATTTAATTAGAAAATCAATCAGTGAAATTGGTTTGAAGAGTTATCCTTCTGCACAAAATAGTTTTATATAGTTCGCTCTCTCTCTTGGCGTTCACTTGGATTTAATTTACAAATTAGTAAATGTGCTGGTGCCCTATAAATGTATTTACAGTTTCGGTCTGCTTTGGAAAAGAGGATGCATGATGATATGCAGTCTGGTAATTTCCCCGTCGAACTTGACTACAAAAGCATTCTCATCATGTTTACTCGTTGATGTTGATTTCGGGGTGGCTCACCTATATCATTTTTGACTATGTTCTGTGCTACTACTACCGGACCAACATATTAATTCCTCCAGTAGCTCAAGCTGAGTAATTATTCGAAATCATTAACTTAATTAAGTTTGGTTCAGATGTTGATGGTCTTAACGCTCTATGGACGTTTCTTGTTGTTTGTTTAGTGGTCCATATAAAAAATAAGCAAATAGTTCGTAACAAAATCCTTCATCTTAAAATCTCTATTTAAAAAAATAAAACTCGGTAGTACATCAAAGTCATTACTGCTAGCTAAAAGTGAACGTGACTTACATTTCCCACAATTTGCGAAAGAGAAAGTCCGAAAAGTTAGAATACAAAAATGTTAACATATGTATGGAAATATGTAAATCTTTTAATCACTAACCCTTCAAAAAAATATAAACTTTGTTTCCATAAATTAAAATGCTATGGTTGAGCTTTTTTGGAGTCCTAGGAAAAATATAAGTAAAAGTTGTCTAAAGCGGCTCAACGATAGGTACACTTGGCAAGAAAGAAAGTGAGGACGAGGTTTGTCATGCAGAAACGATAAACCAAACGCTAATAAAGCTCAAACCACAACGACCACCACACACAAGTCAACCTTGCTTGTGAAGTGAAAGCGACTTATGTCATGAAAAGTCCATTTAACTTTCGCCTTCTGTACAATTCAAGAGAAGATTACGATGGACATTTGACTGCACATGGACACATGAGGCCAGATGACGCGAGGGAAAGTGTTTTGTGCAAATGTCATTGAGGATTTCGATTTGTATGGGTTGATTTTTCAATTAAAGTGGTGCTCAACTTCTCAAGCTCTACTTCGTCTACAACAACGTCGTCTCATGGTGACGTTGGTTTTTGGATATGTACGTATTTTCTGACCAGTAGATTTGATTCACAGTAAAATGCTGCTGCTGCTTTCACTTCACACCACCAATTCCTAGAATCTCTGACCTTTTATTATTCAGTGTGACGGAATTCAAACAAACAACAAGATCATCAACTTTATCAATCACTGCGTGCCGAGTACACCAAGTTAAAGAGGGAGAAAAAACAGTTGACAAAGCAGGAACAGATCAAGAATTTACTAAATCATAAAAATTCCTCAACATTCTGGGCAGCTATTCGTGAATTCAGACCACACTGCTTAGGCAGTTATCCAATTTCAGCGACAGAAAGTCACTCGTTCTACTCTACGTTATTTCAAGGTAGCAGATACCCCATTGAAATCACGCCACGGGAAGTCCAAGAACTTGATCACGAAATCTCCACATTTGAAGTCTCCCTCACCATTAAAAAACTGAAGTTAAAGAAAGCAGCAGGAAAGGACGGTATACCAAACGAAGTATGGAGGGCGTTAACACCGGCAGCAATTAATCAACTATCAGCAAAATTTAATGACATCTACAACAGTGGTGTCGTTCCGGATGAGTGGACTCTCATCATGCTGCGACCAATATTCAAAAAAGGTGACCCGCATTCTCCCTCCAACTATCGTCCCATTGCTTCCCATGGCCACTACGATCCTAAAGATCTTTACCACCATTCTGTCAAATCGTCTACAGACTTGGGCAGAAAGGCATGGACACTTCTCACCATTTCAAGCTGGGTTCAGGAAAAAGATGGAAACTCTAGAGCAAATATTCTGCCTCCTAACCCTTATTCAATCCAAACTTCGTAATCCATGTGGGAAGTTATTCGCTATATTCATCGACGCACGAATGGCTTTTGATTCCTGCCTTCATGACAGAATGTGGAAAGTTTTGAGTAAGCGGGGAGTGAGCTCTAAGTACCTGAAAGTCCTGATGTCACTTTACAGCAAAGCTAGTGGGCAGATTCTCACCCCAAATGGATTAACAGCGTCCTTTCAATTCCAAAAAGGCGTCTTACAAGGAGAACCGCAATCATCATGCCTCTTCAACTTTTTCATAGATGGCCTTGCACGCCGACTGCAAAGAAGTGGCATCTCACCAGTCAAAATTGGATCAACCGACTTCCACATTCTAATGTTTGCTGATGATGTCGTTATCGTCGCTAATTCTGCGGATGCTCTCCAGGGAAAAATCAATGTTGCTGCTAAGTTTTTTAAGAACCGCGGTCTGCTATGCAATATTTCAAAAACGAAAATTGTCATCTTCATCAAGAGAAGATCACGTGACCTCACATCTTTCAAATGGAATGAAGATGCTGTTGACATTGTAGATTCATATACCTATCTAGGAGTGACTATGCATAGAAACGGGACTTTCAATCTAGCCCATAAAGAGTTCAAAGAAAAAGCAACTGCGGCCGTAGTGAAAGTCCTTCACATTACGAGAAGATCTGGTGTTCCACCCTTATCAACGCAATTTAAACTATTCAACTCCATTGCGCGGGCTACTCTACTTTACGGCTCATCAATCTGGGCCATGAAGTTTATAGAAGACATTGACAAAATACAAATCCGTTTCCTAAAAAAGCTACTCAGACTTCTCCCATCGACTCCTGATTACTTTGTGCGATTGGAAACTGGTGCACGGGACACAAGAGTACAACATCTTGCCGACACATTGGGTTTCTGGGAGCGAATATTTAGAAAAAAAGAAGACTCCCCCGTAAGACAATGTATGATTACGCAAATGAAGTGGACACGGCTCAACTCGTCAGCAATGCAAAGGAACCATTGCTGGGGAGAAGACTTCCTTAATCTACTCAAGATCGCAAGATGTGAAAACCTTCCACTAACTCTGACTTCCCTAGTGACCATGAGGAAAACTCTCCTAACAAACTATGAGCTACATCTTAGGAATCAGGACGTCGTGAGGATGCAAAAATCCAACTTCATCCCACATTACCAACTCATCAAACCGAAAACTGACACAGAAG